GAGTACGGTTACGGCAAGCGACCTAGCTTACATTCTGCGACATGCATACGTCGAATTGCGTCCGAAAAAAGCTGGAGTGAAGTTCTACTCTGCATCAAGCTTGCTCGGTTTCCGTTCCGCAATACATCGAAAGCTAGTCGAGTTGAAGCGGCCCATGAACGTCCACAGTGACCCAGCGTTCAAGGACGCAAACATTGCATTGATGGCCTTCCTCATGAAGCCAAAGAAAGAAGTCAAAGCGGTGGAGCACAAACACCCCATCAACGACGACGACATGAGCAAGCTGTCCTGCTACTTCCAGGATCTCCCGTGATAGACAGCAGCTACTCGAAAGAAGTGTTCCTCTAAAAATGAACGCGACTGGTTGTGCTGTGTTGTATGACTCATTGACTGTGAAATGATAGCAGGGTTGCATGCAGCATGCTAGGGTTGCATGCACCAGACTGTGTCAAGTGTGTGGTGACAGACTGTGTGCATGTGGTGGCAGGGGTGCGATAAATGTATTACTGCACTCGGACGCGTGCAATACCGACGTCGATATCTGCACTTACGGCTTCGCCGTTCGTGCAGATATCGGCCGGTATTGCACTGGTCCTTGTGCAGTAATACATACATACGTACAAATTTAATTTTTGAAGTTGAAGTGAATGATTGTGTAGATCTACTCTTGCTTTAGTCTTTAGTCTTGGCTAGCATGCCACGCGAGCTTGACTCCTACTGAGTCCTAGATCGATCCTGGACCTGGCAAGGCTGGCATGGTGACTGCACTGACTGGCACTGTCCAGTACTGCAGTAGACTTTACCTGCAGTACTGCCAGTAGTGACTGCTCGCTAGTCACTGGACGGCGCGTGTAGGGACTTACAGGGGAAATCCCGGGGAGATAATTTTTCGCTGAGCATGAGCTGAGCTGAGCACTTGTACTTGTAAAGTAATACTGTATATCACCTTATTTTCGGTGTTGTAAAATAATTTCGGTAAAAGCCAACCCCTGACCTTTCGGTGGAAGGATAAATTCGGTATGCATGCATGGCACCAAAAAAACGGCTCTTGCACTAATATCTCCGGCTAGGCTCGTACTTATCATTATGTATACCGGTATGTACATGACGATTGTCGCACCCTGTAATAATATGACTGTATACAAGTTGATTTTTTGACAGTGATTTTCATGATTTTTACATATTTTTGGATTTCGGAAAATTTAGGTGTAATGTTAAATTAGGTGATCCAGGACCAGTACCGAAGTTACCGAAATTTAAATTACACCGAAATAAAGGTGTTATACAGTAGTTGTACTTCGAAGTAGACCCGAACCTATTCTACTAGAATCAGTACTGCTGCTGTCTATTATATGTAGCAATAAAAACTGCTTTATGGCAGTTTTCTAAAAAAGTTATTGTGTTCTGATCTAGTCCATGGACCCCGTCTAAAAAGTAAGAAATTAACGAAATGTGATAGCCGAAAATTAAAATTTCACACAAAACCTCACAATAATCACACACAGGATAAAAAGCTAGAAGACCTTTTCCCCTCGTGGTCCTCTTTCCTATTCATGCATGTTGGCGCAGTACTCCTACAAGTCACCCGTGAAGTGTCAGATGGACTCTTGGTCGGACTAAACAAGTGTTGAAAGCAGTATTTTTAATTTTCGGCTATCACATTACTTTTTAGACGGGGTCCATGGACTAGAACACAATAACGTTTTTTAGAAAACTGCCATATTAAAAGCAGTTTTTATTGCTGTGACTGTGGCGGACATGGAAATCCAGTCGATTGACCGGGACCCGCGCCCTCATCGCGTAGATCTACGGAACGCTGCGCGCGTACAGTGCACATGATTGTTACAAGTACAAGTAACTAGTTGATCTGATGGGACCATACGGCATTATAGCAATAAAAACTGCTTTATGGCAGTTTTCTAAAAAAAGTTATTGTGTTCTAGTCCATGGACCCCGTCTAAAAAGTAAGAAATTAACGAAATGTGATAGCCGAAAATTAAAATTTCACACAAAACCTCACAATAATCACAATACTTGAAATGCTGCTTTCAACACTAAACTTGTACTGGACCAACAATTGGCAACATGCATGTCATGCATGCATAGGAAAGTGGATCACGAGGGGAAAAGGTCTTCTACATGTAGCTTTTCATTCTGTGTGTGATTATTGTGAGGTTTTGTGTGAAATTTTAATTTTCGGCTATCACATTTCGTTAATTTCTTACTTTTTAGACGGGGTCCATGGACTAGAACACAATAACTTTTTTTAGAAAACTGCCATAAAGCAGTTTTTATTGCTATAATTTCTTTTGTTTTTTTCTGTCACCAATCAATGGAATGCCCTATATCAATATGTAAATGATGGCCTTCATATCATATCAATACCGTATTATACGCATTGAGGTGCAAGCCTTTTCTTGCCGAAAATGGCACTAGGCTAGCATGTTCTTCTGCGGGGAAACTTTTCACTACTTTCACTTTAGCTCATACGTGTACATGTACATCCTTCAAAGCGGTGAACCCCTTGATAGGCGACAAGCCTCTGGGTCATCCTAATAAAGATATTATTATTATTATTATTAAACATGTGAGTAGTGATGGACCGTGGTGATACATTTTTTATACAGAGGTCATTCTGTGCATGTTGCTGTAGCAGAATTTCATGACTCTGTCATAATAATAATCTAGCCTTTCAGATATTTCAGATTTCCCCACCCTGGATCAGATTTATTTGAGAAATGTAACCAGGTGCGTGTCGCAGATGTTTTTGTTGATTCTGTGTTTATAATGGTTTATAATCATGGGTTATCGTGATAAGGTCATCCTGCATCATATTGCACTGAAATCGTAATCCTGTTGATGTCGATACAACTTTTGGAAGTACTTCAATGACTTCAAACTGTTAGTCCACGATTTTCTAAAACAACACAGCAAAGGAGGAACAATAAACATGTATTAAAATGTAAACAAATACATTGCTGAGTCCGACACCTCGTTCCAACAACTACACTGATGATGATAAAAGGGGCAAGGCTATGCTTGGAGGTACTGAGAGATAAACAAGGCACTCCATAGATAATAAAATCTTACATCTTTTGGTGAGTGTAAATGATATCCAGTCGAACCTCTTTAGGACGAACACCAAGGGTATTTATTCTGTGAGTTTGTCTTAACCTATTTTATAAATACATGTATAACCAGTGAATACAATTATTTCTCCAATAGACATACGAATAGATTTCTTCTACAGCGAAAGATTCTAAGCCACACCAACTCATTGACTTGTCTCGTATGAAACAAATGAGTCACTAGAGAGGTTCTGCAAAACGAAAATGCGTACAAACTTTCGTTCTACGTCATGAAGTGCGAAACTTCGCACGAACTTTCGCAATTTTGGACGCGAAACATGCAGGGAACACGAAATGAACTGTCGTAGGAAATTTCGTGAGATCGGGTCATGGCGTACGTGCACTTGGCCCGCGCAAACTACGAAAATGTGCAGAACGCAAAGTTCGTGCAATAATTCGTACACACTTTCGCAAGGACTGTCGCGAAACTTCGTTCGAATTTTCGTTTTGCAGAACTTCTCTAGTACTGAACGTTTCTTTAGCAACATGACGGCAACTGAAACAGCAATAGAGAAAGTACGATACATGTACAGCACATTCTTGCAGGTACTACAAACAGATTGCAGATCGTAATTCTTGCTTTGGCGGCACGAAACTTTATTCTAAGCAGTGCAATCTCGGCGGTACTCACAAATAATAAATCAAACAGCCCAGACTCGAGTAAACAAATCCAATCACACAAGTACGAGATCTTCATGAGACGAGATTGCACCGATTGGCTTGTTTCGTATGAAGCAAACAAGTTTACTGAACCTCTCCACAATGGAGATTTTCCCTGATACCGTATGCGAATTTATTTTGCAAACTCGGTCAATGGGTCCTTGAACCTTTCCCTCCAGATTGGGAACTGCCAATGATAGTATGCCACTGACCAGTGCCTTGCTTGTAACGTACCAATGTACAATGAATATGAGTATTTCGACAACACATCTAACATGAGCCTTACCGTCAAGAAGGTGAACTCGCGTTCTTCGCACACTGTAGACAAGGGCAAAGAGATAAAAATGGATCTAAATCTGAATAAAATCAGCACACGTTTCCGTAAATGAAAGGGTGAGCATAAGCAAATGAATCGAAGGAAACCGGTCAACTCAGAGATCACCTGTCATCGAGTATTCCGTAAAAGGAGGCCTCGGCAGCGGAAAAGCTAAATTTAGAAAAGAGATCCTGTCAGCTTTTCCTTTATTTATTGCATTCCGCCCAAAATCAGCACACTTTTCGTAAATGTAAGAGTCAACACAAGCAAATGAATCAACGGGAACTGGTCAACTCACCTGTCATTGAGTAATATTCCGCGAAAGGAGGTCTCAGCAGCGCCGAAACGAAATAAGCCAGCCAGGAGACGAAATATCCGAAACAGCTCATGCAAGAAGCAGTTCCAAAGAAGGAAGTTCCTCGCGCATGCACATCCGAACACGGACTGCACTGCAACACAATGTCTGCCGGCTGCAGCCGTGCAAGTGCACAGCACGCGGCTACCACCCGTTGGTAGATCTAATACCGAGCACCTTACGTAGAGACTTACGTAGCCTAAGTGAAATACCGAGCACCTTACGTAGAAACTTACGTAGCATAGCGATGTCGTTTTTCTTGCCATGTGAACACAATAATAGAAAAGCTGACAGGATCGCTTTTCTAAATACCAGCGCGCTCATCCTCGGCTGCATGACCAGCGCCCTGGGGCCGTAAGACTTTCGACCGGAATTCCATGTCCACAACAATCGTACTAGTACTAGAACTAGTACACCAGTATAGTACAGTATAGTGTAGTACTAGTAGTAGATCTACTACTGTACTAGTACTGAGCCAAGTCAAGCCTGACTCAAGTCAAGGCCTATACTATGCTAAGGCGAAGAGGCGTTCTTGTAGCACAAGAAAAAATTTCACCTTTCCTGCCGTAGCCTACGCGGAGGAGCCTGACATGATTGTATTCTCCACTGGCCTTTGCCTGAATGGAGGGAGTTTGAACAGTGAACATATCATCAGTATCACAGTCATAATCTAAAGACAAGCGATTTAGGAGGCGCTCGAGGATTGAGTAAATAATATTATTATGTCAGGGGCCGCAGCTACCGGCGGGGAGGAAATGGTCTTCAATGCCGAAGATAGGAGGGTTCGAGTCCTGAATCCTCGGAAACCTCCCGCCGGGGGTCACCCAGTTCACGCCTCCATTTTCCAAGTACGTTCAGCGTGCAAAACTTGCAAGCAGGTAGCGCCTGCCACGTGCTTCATGGTCGAACAGCTCAACAAAGGCGCTCATCCCTGCTACTATTTCACGACTGCCGCACACGTTATTTGTTGCAGCGATTGTGGAGAGTATTGTTGGATTCAGATTGTGTACGAATGGGATCCCAAGTTTCCCGAACCCAGTAGCACGTTCCTGCCGGATAAAACCTTTGTCGAGGAAAACAATGACCGAGGATGGCTGCGGGTGCCCGAAGACTACATAAAGAACTGCGGAAAGGGCAAGGAAGACTGGGATCGCTATCTGTATGATTATGGCGTTATTGCTCTGCGCAAGGACAACTTGGAAAAGGGACTAAAGAATGAGCTTGCAATGCTGAGCGGTGAAAATGCAATGGTCCGCAAACCAAGGGCCCAAAAGGCGCGTATGGAGTCTGTTGACCAGGCGTTCCTGTGTGGGTTTCCTGGAGAGGTCAAGAAGGAGGCGGTTCGAGGTCACATGTACTGGATGCCCGTTGACAAAGCCAAGAAAGCTGAACCGCTACTGGATGCCATCGGCTTTCAAAAGCGCAGAGGCCAGGAGAGAGAGACCTCTGCACTGTTCGCCATGCCGCAACGTCATACGAATGACGGTGACGGCGACGGAAACAACAAAAGCAGCAGCAACCAGGAACTTGTTGTCCAGCGACTCTACCGTCACTACATTGATTCAAGCGGTGGACAGAGCGGCTCACCCGTATACTCCTACGACGATGAAGAAGACGAGTACATCGTTTACGGCATTCATGCCGGATACTGGCGCTTTGAGGATGCCAAGTCCAATTTGTACTGCAATGTAGCAGTGCGGATGCAGGAGGTCTACAAAGACATGAGTGAGTGGATCAAAGGGAAGGAGGATGACAAGCACACGGCCAAGCCAGCTCAGAAACATTCCACAGAAGGTAAGGTTCATTCCGTGAAACTTGAGACTACTACTAAGTAGTTCAAAAAGCTAGGACCGTTCTACAGTGGAAATCAATTAAAAAAACCACAATTACCACAAAAGACGGCGAGGATGACTGCGAAAGAGACGGCACAAACAGTAAAATAGCAACAGCAACAACCACGACGACGACGACAACAACAACAACAACTACTACTACTACTACTACTACTACTACTACTACTACTACTACTACTACTACAAACCTGCAGCCACAATCTCACCCTCTTACCCAATAATTCCGGATTCCCACTAGGCCGATTTTACAGCCGACATGGAATTGTATGACAAAATCGTGAAGATCGGTGCGAAAATTTCCCTGGGGTAACCAGTGTTGTCGGACCAGTTTCCGACCAATCTGCGGCGAGTTTTCTTAGTGGTTGGACATGGTGGTGCGAGCCTCTGACCAATCACTATTGGCTTGTCACCATGACAGCAGAGAGTGTCGGTGCAGATCCTGAACTGGCTGCACTGGATCGCTACTTGACGCCAGCCCTTCACGTCGTTGACTTTGCAGCTCGTGTAAAAACGATCTCATTTCTGCTCTGGCGTCTACTACGGTCTAGTATGTCTGCCTACCATGCGTACGTGTGTCCACAGAGCGCCACAGGCCAGCAAGAACAATCGCTTGTCGTTCGTTGTGTGTGAACGGGTAGTCCGAATTATCCGACTTAGACAGCCGATTTCATGTTAAAGTCCATATCATGCCTGGTCTCCGCTAGGTCGAGTTTTTGGCCGATCGTGGTTTATCGATTATGGAATCATACAAAAATCCTAAAGATCGGCGCGAAAACTACCTGGGGTGGATGCGGCGTTTCCGACAAATTTGCGTGGGTGTGTGTATAGGTCCGATCCAGTTGGCCGATCTCATGTGGAAGTCGGTATCGGAGCGTCGACCAAAATATCGGACAGTGTGGACCAGGCATAAGAGCATCGGGGGAAATTCAGCCTAGTGGGAACCCGATATTACCCTTTTCCCATTGCTATTACAATTATGCATGTTTCTATTGGCTACAAACTCTTCCAAATATTATAAATTTTATTATTTTTGGAAGAATTTGTAGCCAAGAGACCGTTTTTGGGTAGTGGTGTATAACTGTGTGAAACATGAACTGTGGCTACAGTGGAGTCTGCATACCCTTAGGAACTATACATGTAACAAGCATAAACCATGACTTTCTTCCCAGTGCCTAATATCTAGGCGCGCTCGCGAAACCAATTTAATAGTGGATACCGCTGTTTGAAGATCTCTAGGATGCGTGAAACGTGATGTTACAGCTATGTTATGTAGACAGACCTTAGCCTTCAGTGTTTAGTGTTCAGTGTTCAGTGTGGGCATATTGCTCTGTACATAATCTGTATGTGGAGCACTTTGCTTAAGCTGCTCTGATTGGCACTGCGTGTGTAAATGTATGTGTGTGTGTGTGTGTGTGTGTATGTGTATGTGTGCATGTGTATGTTGTGTGTGTGCATGTGTGTGTGTGCGTGTGTGTGTGTGTGTGTTGTGTGTGTGTATGTGTGTATGTGTGTGTGTGTGAGTGCGTGTATGTTGTGTGTGTGCATGTGCATGTGTGGGTATGTGCCTGTCCAATGTACTGGCTGTGTTGTTTGAAGGATTCGTTGAGAAGAAACAACGTAGCTATCTGTTTGGCACTGGAATCGAAGGAATGAAGAATTCGAAGCCAGGAACGTAAGTGTATGCACTGTGTAATGTGTGTGTGTGTGCGCGCGTGTGCGCGCGTGTGTGTTTGTGTGTTCATGCGTGTGTGTGTGTGTGTGTGTGTGTGTGTGTGCACGTTGCATGCCCACACGTTACTGTGAGGCTTGTGTGTATGTCCTGTTGTGGACATGAAAATCCAGTTGAATGACCGGGGCCGGCACCTTCAATGCGTACAGAACGTTGCGTGCAGTGCACATGTTGATCCGATGCGACTAGCGCGCTGCAGCGCATAAATGCATGTGTGTACCGTGTACACACGGCTGCATGGCCAGTGCCCTGGGGCCGCTAGATGTGCGATCTGATTCCCATGTCCACGACAGTAGCTTGGTGGACATGATTATTTGTATGTACTGTACATGTTCGTGAGAATAATGTGCATGTGTACGCGTGGGCGGGTGTGCGTGCACTTATGCAGTCATGGCAACAGGTGTATGCATTTCGGTGTCCACTATTCATACATGCCAATACGCGCGCTCTTGCATGCACACACTAGTATTTGGTGCAGAGCATGTGAAAACGGCGCAGGCAGGCAGGCATAGTGGGATGGTCTAAGACCATGATTGAGAAACAGAGGGTACCAGGTTCAAGTCCTGCTTGGAAGCGGAAGGAATTTTTCCAGCCGTGCTGCGACCCACAGATAATTGGGAATTCGTGGCCTGGCACGAGGGTAACATAGATGCAGCTAATGGGATTTCGGTCTTTGACCACTTGGTGGTGAGTCTGATCTACTCACCTCCCACCGCTTTAGGCACTGCATCGGCGCCTTGATCCTAGAGGGTGGTGGCGTTCCCACGGCGGATGGTGAAAACCCGGCTTCCAGGCGAGTCTCACGCGAACCGTGAATATATTTTTATATTATGTGAAAACGGTGCTTATCGTCTAAATTTGAGGTTTTTGAGTTATCATGCCCTGTTGGTAGCTGGTCTTAGCTCTAACTTTCATAGAAAAAAACAAAACCTAGTGGAAATCCATTTTTAACAGAATTATTTTTTTAATTTACCGATGCCGTGGTATGGATTTTTCGTTCACAGTTTTCAGCCACAAATGATGTCAAGTTCCAACTTCGAAAGCGATTTTGTCCGTTTCAGTCAAACACAGCTGAGTGCCCTTTCACGTGAGCTGCAGCATTTATTAATCCTTTCAGATTCTATTTGTCATGAATAGCTGATAGATAACACATTTTCATGTCTGTCTCTTCTCCTTTGCTGTGTGTTTTCAGTGAGGATGTCGGTAAACCTGACGAAGGTGAGGTATCTTTTAAATCACTTGGCATGTCTGTATGTATCTGTGTGCGTGTGTGCAAGTATTCCCAGTTGCCTTGTGTGTGCATGTGTGTGTGTGTGTGTGTGTGTGTGTCTGTATGTGTGTGTGTATGTGGCTCTCTGTCTGTCTGTATGTATGTATGTGTGTGTGTCTGTCTGTCTGCGTGCCAGTGTCACGGTATGAATGTGTATGTTCGTGTGGAGTGGCCCTGGGTGCACATCTAGTGCATTTGCAGATTTGCATGCTTCTCTGGCGACGGCCGTATACATGGTACATGGTATTTGTGTGGTTCTCTTGTCCGCCTTGGTTTCTCTCAGTGAGCTGTAGATCTTGAAGATCAGAGAAACTGAGGAGACCCTGTCGCTGACACTTGTCAAGTGGACGATTGGCTAGCATGCGATTAAGCCATGGTAGGATCTCACTGACGAACAGCGGTGCGTCAAAGGGGTCATCCAGGTACACTGAGCAGCAAATGACATAGTAACACACAGTGATAAGTAACACACAGTGATAAGTAACATAGTAACACACAGTGATATGTGACTAAAAGTTCACATCTTCGTCATCGTCAGGATATGCTATGCGTGTACGCTACTGAGAATGGGCGTACGAACAAAGCTGTTGCGACTTCGGCGGTAATTGCTAAAGAAAGTGTCTGGTGCGAACGTCGGAGGTCGGAGCTAGAGCTCGCGTCATAGGTCGTCATTTGGCAGGAAGCACGAGCTCCGATGTTCGGAGCACACTTTCTTTAAGAATGGTTAGTTGTGGAAAAATGCAGTGAATCGTGACTTTTCAGTAGACTAGGTCACATGGTACTGTTACAAGCACACAGACACACGCATCCCCCCCCCCCCCACCCGCATACTGTATTTTACCGGTTGTAAGTCGACCCCGGTTATACATGTACATGTAGGTCGACTCCCGTTATCCGGAGGTCTCAATTCTGCGTTTTAAATTTTTCACCCAAAGAAGCACTACTAACCACTCCCTTCTACTAACACAACACGAAATCATGTAAACATTCCTTAGTGGAGGGTATAACGTCCCAGTCCTTGAAAAAGGGCCAATAAACTGGCAAAAATGTACCATGTACCATGTATACGCCCGTCCTCATGACTTTTCTTTCATTCTACTGGGTGGTTACCAACAGCCAGTGCATGCCGGAGTATGTGGTGTGATGTGTGTGCGGGAAAAAAATGTAAAGGACCAAAAAGTAGGGATTCACTGCCCAAAAAGCCACTTCGTAGCTGTGTGGTGTAGACCAGGCTGAATAGTGGCGGTCAATTCCTCAGCCTTGCAAGCTGTTGAATGTTGCAATCCCAGCACAACAGGGCTGCCACACTCGGAGGGAGAAAAATCTGACGGGGGTCAGGGGGTGTCCCCCGGCGGGATGCAGGGGGCAGGGCCCCGCGCGATGAATTTTTTTAGGAAAATGGCCTGCTGTTGGGGCCACAGAACACATTTTTAACTGTCCAGCACACGCACTACAACCATGTCAATTATGCAGACCGGCCAAACGCGACCTGGAAGCGCCGAATTAAGGCCAACTGGACTAAAAAGCGCTCAAAATAAAATAATCGGTTGTCCCTCTTTGGGAACAAAATCGGTCAGTTTGTCGGACAGGCGATCAAAAATCGGTTGATTTCCGAAAAATCGGAGCAAGTGGCAGCCCTGGCACAAGTTGCTATGGCTTCTGCTGTAGCATCGCTATCATCGCCTCCGGCGATGGGCGTCAAATGGTCAAATGGTGTGTGTGTGTGTGTGTGTGTGTGTGTGCGTGTGTGTGTGTGTGTGTGTGTGTGTGCGTGTGTGCGTGTGTGTACGCGCGTGTGTGTGTGTGTGTGTGCGTGTGTGTGTGTGTGTGTGTGTGCGTGTGTGTGTGCGTGTATGTGTGCGTGTGTGTGCGTGTGTGTGTGTGTGTGTGTGTGTGTGTGTGTGTGTGTGTGTGTGTGCGTGTGTGTGTGTGTGTCTGCAGGCGTACATGCATTGCTACTTCACTGAACACGATTGGAGCAAGCGAGCACGTGTGTGTGTGCGTGTGTGTGTGTGGGGGGGGGGGGGGTGCGTGCACGTTTGTGCACACTCATGCACATTCCGTAGTTCTATAATTCTGAGTTGTGACTGAGTTGTGACTCATTAGAGTGACGTTTGATATTGAGCAAGCGGAGGTGATGTGTTTGTGTGCACATCTGTACTCAGATCCGACAACAGCTCTCCCCGTTGCCAGCCCACTGGGCCCCATAGGGTAAGTCCAACTTTGAGGGTAAGTATAGCCTAAAATCAAATTTTCACCAGTTGTGGTCTTCGGGTTGCTGAGTCGAATGGTCTTGGTCCGAGGAAGCTGAGACGCTCCCTTCCTCCTTTATTCCCAATCCAACTCGCCACTTCCACCGAAACTGGGTAACTGTGCCCTACTAGATGGGGATTTGTATGCAAAATGTCACCTTGCGATGCAGCGTTCGGCCCTTATTCCCAATCGAACACGGTTGAGGAAGCGCGGTCACGTGCTCGTGCGTGCATCAGTCACCTGCAGGCTACAACTTACAGCCTGTTTGGGCAGGTTCGTGTCACTCAAGTTAAACCTTACAACCTTTGAGTTGAACCTTGATGTGAAAGTTTTAGCCTGCAGAGACGGTGACCAGGTGATTGGTGTACACAAGAGCACGTGCCCGCTTAGTCACCCGTGTTCGATTGGGAATAAGGGCCGGACGCTGCGCTGCATTGCAGCCTTTTCGGACCAAAGCCAGTCAACTCAGCGTTCAAAAGACTACACCATATGGGCAATCGCGGTCATCCGTGCTTTTTAAGAACGAAATTAATGGCGCTTTTAGTGACATTTTGCATGCAAAAAAGGGAACGTCTCAGCTTCCTCGGACCAAGACCATTGGCCTCAGCACCTGGAACTGGTGAAAATTTGATTTTAGGCTATACTTCCCCTTTGAAGGGGAAGTCTGATGAATTTTTTTAATATCAGAGTCCGTAGAGTTTCAGGCGATGAGTCGGACGGTGTTGGTCCCACGAGTCTCCGACAAAGCATTCTTGAGATGCTTCCGTTTGAAAATCTGAGTTTCAGGGGCTGCGCCATGACGTCATGCGGCCGCGCCGCACCCTCTCCAACGTCATAGCATGCATCTAGGTCAAAAGGAGTGCGTGAAAGCAATAGTGTCGATGCTATTTCGAATGATTTGGCGACCGATAGTAGGTGGTGCAAGCGACCCCGAAGACAGACCTCCGTGTGGGAGTCAGGATGCAGGGTCGTAAAGAGGTCATTTTCTTAGTTTTTCGCAGTACATGTATGGAGAACAGGGTATTTGAAAGTTCTCCATACTGTATTGAGAGATATGGCTGAAACAGCTTGCTGTCTACAGCATTGGGTACTACACTCCTCGGCATTCGTCTTGTTTTGCACTCTCACTAGTACTGAGTTCTCTAATGCTGCTGCATCACGCAATGCCCGCTACTTTTCCTATTTGGAGCACTCTGGCGCTAGAGCGACAAGCTATCTTAATGTCTGTGGTGCCTCCTTTGCACCGTGGCTGATAGCTCGGCCTGCTTAAAGCTCGTAGCTGTACCGATTTGGCCTTTCTGGCCGAAACAGCTTTTATATTTATATTTATTACTTGGTCCGGCTCATCGCAATTGTCGCTTATCCCCCAAGCACTTTTTGACAGGTAAAACCCAGTCCAATCACGATATCTAACTTACGTTTGCGTGGGAGATCGTGATGGCAAGATCAAAGGAAGCACCAAAGAAAAATGATCGCGACTAGCGCTTTGAATCGCGATGTATGCGACTTTTTTTGGGAAGTGGGAATCTGGCCATTCACTGTCTGTGTTGCCAAAACTTGCAAAAGCCAAACGCAGCGACCCGAAGACCGGAACTGTAGCAGGGGCAACTGACATCCTGGCCTGGAGAGCGTGACAGGCACGCGTGCACGGAAGAGGAGTATGAGCGTCATGCTGAAGAAGAAAGGTGTTTTGATGGGATGCGCCCGGCCGACGTGTTGGTTGTTCCTTCGCTTGGTGGACGTAGCAGCCGCATTACAAGAGTCGTGGCCAGCATATCCAGCGGAGCGTATGACAGCTGTCTGGAGAGGCCTGTATGCCTCATTCGAAGACTTTGTTGAAACACACTGTGGTGACACACAGGTCACACTGCCCACGGTTCCTTTAAGCACCGAAGTGACAGCCACAACTGTTTCTTTCCCATTGCTGCCATATAAATACGAAAGGCTGAGAACGCAAGAGATACTCTACCAGTCTACGCCAGCTAGCATCTAGAAACCAGCAAATGTCAGCTCATGTAACGGCATGGCTCTAGAGATGCAGAGTTGAGTGAACTCTGGACCTGTATTACTAGTGTGAGTGCAAGAACGCGCTTCTTCGCTGATTTATTTCGTGCATTTTGCTTACCTTGCTTCCTTTCTTCGACTCGCTTCACCTGATTCCATTGCTGAAATTTTGAAATTTTTTCTTGTGGCGGAGAGTATTCATGTATCATGCTTCCTCACTATGCCTGTTGGAAATTTCACAGAGCGGTGAAAAAACTCCTGTTCTTAGTGGCGATAGATAAGCGACAATTGCGATGAGCCGGACCAAGTACAACATCTCAAGACTCGGTGGAAACACCGGCCAATGTTAAGAGAGTGGGTGATTGCCAACCACGGCGATAAATAAAAGTAAGGGTAGATTGCTACCTACAGCGTAGGGTATTGAGAGATGTAAGCACTGTGTTCAGTGGCCAAACAGTAGCCTGTGCTTGATGAAGATTTACGTTGTCTGCACAGTAATATATGTACTGTAAGACCAGATCTTTTAACGTCAATTAAAGTTTACGATCTCCGGATTTTTTGTGGGTTAGCGAGGTGAAGTTCTAGCTAATTCTCTCTCAAAACAAGCAGATGATTGTACATGTACGTATCGTTTTGCACATAACGACTTCAAATGTTAAAATGATTTTCTTAAAGGGGAAATCCGGTGAAAAATTTAAATTTCAGGGTTGGTAGAGTTTCGGCCGCTGAGTCGAATGGTGTTGGTCCCACATGTCCCCGACAAAGCGTTCTCGAGATATTTCCGTTTGAAAAACTGAGTTTCGGGGGCTGCGCCATGACGTCATGCGGCCGCGCCACACCCTCCGCAACGTCATAGCGTGCAGCTAGGTCAAAAGGAGTGCGTGAAAGCAATAGTGTCAGTGCTATTTCAAATGATTTGGCGACCCATAGTAGGTGGTGCAAGCGACTCCGAAGACGTAACTCCTTGTGAGAGTGAGGATGCAGCCATGGCTGACCTTCATGAGTTCGGTCTGGGGCTGAGAACCTCGGTATTCAGCTGAAGAAATGGCCGCGCGGGCCGGTCAAGAGTGAGCGCTACTGAGTTTCCGACTGGTGAAGAAGCAGCAGCTATTGCAGACGAAGCTGATATAATTATCAGCTCGCTGGAGAGCAGAGTCGCCAAAATGGAGAAGAGTGATGCGAGTGCTCTAAGACTAAATGTTGTTCCATACCGATTCGCTTAGACTCCAGTAACCTGCCACATGGTGATGTTTTGGTGCGAACTTGGCGTATTTCGGACACTCAATTGGAGAACAGTGCAGGCTCTTTGAACTACGGGCACGACTCTTCGCTCGCAACGCTACGGGATCTGAAAGTTCTAGGTCCGGGAGCTGTTCGCTGTTTTGTCACTTGTCACGGTTGTGCACTCATCGCTGTAGCATAAAATAATGAGGCGGGAGCGGAAAACTAAAATTTTCTTTCTCAAAGCACAACCACCGCCGGCAAGGAGAAACGCTCGTTCTCTGACTACACGACTGATACGAGTGTAGTACATGACAAGTCCGTGTGTTGACTAGTTTTCTGAGTCTTGTGACTCGAGTCTTGTTGTACCTAGTGCGGGAGTAGTTCCGTGTGTGATGAGTTTGTTGACTACACTACAGGTAGCATGCACGCAGCGCATTGCTAGAGCCGTAGATAGAGGCCAGTGCATGTCGACGGAAAAAGTCCAACTCGGAAACGGCTAAAATACGGTATAACCTCGAGGTTTACCGAGCTGAAAATCACAGGGTACGTAGTGTTTGTAACACTGAATCGAATGGTCTTGGTCCGAAGAAGCTGCGACAAACGGTTCCCCAATCGAACGCGCTCCGAATATGGCCGTTTTTGTACACATCTAGATGGTGTGGCCACCTGGCTGCACGCTGTGACGTCATCACCTGGATCTGGGTGAGGCGCGCTCAAATCCGCACATGTTCGATTGGGCGTATCTGACGAACCATAGGCCGCAGCCTCCTCGGACAAAGACCATTCGACTCAGCGCCCCGAACTCTACGGACTGTGAAATTTAAAATTTTCACCGGACTTCCCCTTTAAATTCGTTAAATCTTTGGAATTAAAACTAAATGCTCGTTAACACTACTGGTCTTACAGTATGGTGGATATGGCGGCTCAGAGCAATGCCCGGCGGCATGGTGCAGAGAGGTTTTACAGGTGTGTATGCTAATGGCTGACGAGTGTAAGTACGTGTTGGCTGAAAGCGCAGGGAGGAGAGATGGTGAAGAGAAGGTGATACTGCTGATTACACTGTATGCTGTGTGTTCATCCTGCTTCTCTATGTAGTTCGAAACGCCTTAAAGATATCGACAACCACACAACATTTGCTCAGAGTCTTCAACCTTTCTTCGACAAGAAAGAAAAGAGTAAGTACTTTGAAAATTTACCTTGGATACTGAGCCAGCAAATATAATTGAAATAGAAGAAATCTCATGGAAACGAGTTAAGAAGTATCCGCGACCGTCACAAGATGATACGCAGTCAGCAGGTTTTGTTATGTTATCGCACTTTCTGACTGCGTGTTATCTTGTTACAGTCGTGGATAGTTGCTTCATAACTCGTTTCCATGTGATTTCTTCTGTTTTTATTGCATTTTTTCCTTGATTTCTTCTCCAGTTTTGTAATGCATTGTAATCCATTTGGGTTTTTGCCCATACAAGAGGATTTTGAGTATGCTAACAAAATGTTTGACAAACGGAAGTAATTTAAAGAACTCGGATACTGAGCCGGTAAAAAATATATATCTGACCCACCAAAGTTGGGTGGTGTGTTACTTTGCCGCTTCGAATTGTAGGTGGACCGCATTGTCAAGTTATTGACTGGTCTCGTCATCTTCCTGTAACAGTCGATATTCGTTGTTACCATGGGACATAGCCTGCACACAATTTTCGCTGTGCTGACCTTCCCATCTTTGATCCTAGCATAACCTTGAGCTTTCCAAGCTGGAACATTCCCAGATCTCAAGTCTAAACCTGCCAAATGCATGAGTGCAAAGGAAGAAACAAACACCTGGTCTTACATGAAGGGACAGGAGGATGTTTGTTTGGTTGTAGAAAAATGTAAGGAGAATATGTTATGAGTTATGAGCAACTACGGCGCATAGTAACCAGATAATACGATGTTAGCTAGACGACAACAAGGCTTAAAACTGACATGTACATGTAGTAGTACTGTAGAGAGACATTTACCAACTTGACACCTAACATAGCTACAACACATTCTACAACATGCAAACTAATCACCTTCCAACTTGGACAGCTCAGGTTAGGAATCGCTCAATGAGAGGAAGGAAAGCGTAACGCCAAAATTAGAACCAGCTACGACCCTCAGCAACAAAAAATGACAATGGTTACTGGATGATGATGATGATGATTTTTTTTGATTCCCACCTTCCAACCCGGCAAATATTTCGATTGTGATAAAAACGATTCAAAGTCTCTCAATTATTTTTGTAATACTTGAAGTACAGTACATGTATGATACATTGGCTCACCATCCGAGTTTAAGTTTGAAAAGTTGTTTCAGAATTCGAACTAGGATTTTGCGACATCGGCAGTAATTCTGTTTGAGTTTTGTGGTTTGAAGGATAACCTGTTGTTCTTTGTGTGTGTGGCTACAAATCTCACAGGAGACTTGGGTCGCAAAGCAGTCGAGGCTGTGGACCCAGACCTTAAGAACGACTCGTATGTCGTGCTGGAACAATTTCATGACGACCACGAAGGACGATTAGATGGCGGCAAAGTGAAGGGCCAAGATAACTTGATGTGCATCATCTACTATCTGATCGTCAACAAGACAGAGATGACTATACCTGCTTTGTTTGAGATGCTCACACCATGTGCAAGTCAGAACACAGAAAAAATAAAGAAAAAGCTGATGTGAGTATGAGAAATGCTTGTGTTAGGGCATGTTCGATTGGTGGGATCCAGATCTCAGATCCGTCGAATCCTTCAGAGTCCACTGAACACTTTGTTTTGGTCCTTGACTCTTGCCATGTTGGTGAAGTAATAAAGTGGCACTCACGGGTCACCCAGAAGGGTGAAAGTCGTATTCGTGGCGCACGTGTCGTACGAAAAGTCAACAAGAGTATCTCGAGCGACGTGTGTGCGCACCACAAAGTGTACAAAAGTGATTTTTACCCGCCATATACGCACAAAGGTCACATTTGGATCTGTTGGATCCGGTCAACCCTGCTCCCCGAGGTGGGTTCACCTCGACCCCAATCCAAAGGATCCGGATCCGGATTCGATCAATTGAAATTGTGCGAATCCAGTGGATCCGGTTGATCAGGATCCCGATCCTTCCACTCAAACATGCCCCTATGTACCTCCTCCCGTATATTGCCTCCTACCACCTTTTCCAAACTGGCTTGCATGCACCCCGTGCGATTTCCATAATAATGATGTATTGGTTCGTGTCCCTGCATCTCTGCTGGCATCTCTCTTGGCATCTCTGCTGGCATCTTTGCTGGCATCTGTGCTGGCATCAACACTGGCATCTGTGCTGGCATCTTTGCTGGCATCTGTGCAGATCTTTGACGATTGCAGTGCTCGCCATCTAACTGTACTCCAATGTCGTTGCATTCATTCCACCTGCATACGTTGTATTTGTGTATGTGTGTGTGCATGCATGCGGGTGTATGTGTTTGTGCGTACGCGTTTGCATGCGTGTGTGCATGCATGCATGTTTGTGTGTGTGTGTGTGTGTGTGCGTGCGCGCGTGTGTATGTGTGTGTGTGTGTGTGTGTGTGTGCGCATGTATGTATGTGTGTTTTCTCATTATTGTCATTTAAGGGCGGCTTCGTACAACTGAGCAGTGTCGTGAAGTCACCATGGCAACTACCCAGGTGCACTACGCGAAGGTCACCAGATGTCTGCGGCATAGTCGTCTTCTGCGGTTTGTTCTTGCAAAACTGCGCGCTGCATTGCTCTGCATTACTCTGCATTACTCTGCATTGCTCTGCATTGCTCTGCATTGCTCTGCATTACTCTGCATTACTCTGCATACCTAGTAGAATACATGTGACTGTTATCTCTTTGCCATTCTATGTTCGAAGTCGGAAGAAAATGTTGAACGGTCTATGCTGGGATGACGGCTACACCATAGCTCAGTGGTTAGAGCATCGCTGGCCACAAGCGAGGGCCGAGGGTCCCTGGTTCTTGTCCTGGTGGTGACATTCAATTTTTCTACAGATTTTTCTCTTTGCCCTTCCCTCAGCTAGTGAGTATGACGATGTTTTCTCTGATTTTAAATAAGTTGCCTTGGGCCAGGTCTGCCTGCTGGGAAGCATGGTTTGCTGCCCGTGTGTTTATCTGCTACGTGCATTTCTTCCATACTGAGGAGGAAGAAGTGTTTGCGCTCTTGTCTCCAAGGAAACTGTGCATGCATTTCTTTGCTTACATAATGTTATTATGCCTTCCGTGACACGTGCATGCTGAATACTCTCCTTTCGCCTGCACATGCCTTCGCTAAGTATCGGTGTTTGATGTTGCGCTGTCGTACCTCGCCTCTCTATGTCCTGCGTATCATAATGCTACATGTCTTGCTCTCGTCTTGTCTTTTCTCTCTCTCTCTTATGACCTTCTCTATTTTTCTTGGCGCGCTTTGTCTGTGCAGACGCCGAGACCACCAAGGTCGGCTGAGCAGCAGGGCCCCGCCACTACTTTCCGCATTCATTCGGGAGCATAGTGGACTTAGAAAGAAAAAAATCCTTTTCCTTCTATCATGGGCGTGTGTGACACGAGCGAAACATGGATGAGGCGAAAAGGATTATTATGTCTTTGACCATTTACTTCTGGGGTGTGTTATCATGACTGCGTGTTGCCATGGCTGTGTGCTGTCATGGCTGTGTGTTATCATGACAGCGTGTTGTTATGGCTGTGTGTTGTCATGGCCGTGTGTTGTCATGGTTGTGTGTTGGATTGGCTGTGTGTTGTCATGGCTGTGTGCTGTCATGTGCTCCCCCTCTCTCTCTCCATCTCTCCCCCTCTCTGTGTCCATCTCTTTCCCTCTCTCTGTCTATCTGTCCTAACTGTTGGCCACAACCGCATTCAGGTTACTGCTTATCTACCTGATGTTCGGGGCCAGCATACCTGCGCTCAAGTGTGTTCACTCGTGCTTGACTGCATGTGCTGATGAAGAAAATGGATTAGGAGTATTGATCTGCAACCCCTGTCTGAACTTGGTAATGCCTTCATCAACTTGGAACATCTCCATTAGGCGATGTGTTGAGTAATCCTTCCTTCGTTAACGAAACCCGGCCTAGCACACCCAGGATGGTCTGTCAGAGAAGGGGGTACGGGGATGGTGGTTTGACCCTTGAGGGGAAGGTGGTTAGACCCTTCAGGGGAAGGGGGTTTGACCCTTGAGGGGAAGGTGGTTTGACCCTTCAAGGGAAGGCGGTTTGACCCTTGAGGGGAAGGTGGTTTGACCCTTCAAGGGAAGGGGGTTTGACCCTTGAGGGGAAGGTGGTTTGACTCTTGAGGGGAAGGGGGTTTGACCCTTGAGGGGAAGGGGGTTAGACTGACCCTGGTTTGACCCTTCCAGGGAAGGGGGTTTGACCCTTGAGGGGAAGGTGGTTTGACCCTTCAAGGGAAGGGGATTTGACCCTTGAGGGGAAGGTGGTTTGACCCTTGAGGGGAAGGGGGTTAGACCCTTGAGGGGAAGGGGAATGGAACTGTATACTGGACAGGGAGGGATAGGTGGCGCCCAAGCCTGGGTTGGGAGAGGCTGGGGGACTAGAGCCTGGGGATGGAGGCGTCAGTGGCACATGCCAGGGCTAAGATTGGAGTCATGAGTGGCTGGGGGGAGGGGAATGGGGTGGGGGGGAGGGTATGAGGGTTGGGGAAGGGGTATGAGGGGGTGGGGAAGGGGTATGAGAGGGTAGGGGAGGGGTATTAGGGGGTCGGGGAAGGGGTATGAGGGGGTGGAGGAAGCGGTATGAGGGGTGGGGGAGGGTATGAGGGGTGGGGGAAGGGGTATAGGTCTAATGAAGTAATTCACTTTGTTAACTTCATTAAACTATCAACGCTTTAATTAAGTTAAACAAATCACTGCACGTTCAATGCATACATGTATGTACTTGTACACGCACAGGCACAGGTTTTTACTAGTATGTGCCATACATGTACATGAGTGTGGGGAGGAGGGGGGGGGGGGGGGGCATTCGTTGCGTTCCTGGAAAAAAAGGTGAGCAGCACGCAAGCGATTGTAAAGAAAAAGAAAAAACATATTTTTTTAAATCGTGAAACATGCGTGGAAGAAGTGTCAGGTGGGTTCAGGTGCTGACAGGTTCTTCCTACATATCGCTTATCAAAATGCCGACATTCGCCATGATACCGTATTATCTCTAATATAAGCACAGTCTCCAATAATAGCACGTCTCCAATAATAGAACACCTTGGGGCGGCATTCAAAAAATAAAGTGCTCAGTCTCCATTATAGGCACACTGTGTAAATTCATTATCTGTACCGGCGAAAAAACCCTGAAATGTGTGTGTCTGACATGAATTTGGCAAGGCAACATGCCTCTGAAATGAGGTTGAAATAATAATGGAACAGTCTCCAATAAAGGAACGTCTCCATTAATAGCACGGGACGGAGGTACATTGAAAAAATAAGGGACCGTGCTTATATTAGAGATAATACGGTAGATTACAATCATGGCTAATTAGTTGGGTAGGAAGAACATCCTTCTTCACCGTGAACGCACCTCCCCTAGTAAAGACCGTTGTGAATGCTGTAGCAACATAAGTTTGTCTGAACACAGGCCCCACGGCACGGGCCATAACGAGCGAAATTTCACTTTTCCAGGGAAGTCGTACAACCACACGACATGGGTCAGGTCCAAATTCCGGCGCGGCAGCCTGAACATCAGGTTCGCTAAACAGTTTACTCAGAAGCTGAACAGGATATCCATTCTGACTGATTACCTTTTTCTACAACACAAAGCTCTTCCTGAAGCTTATCAGGCGAGCAAACCCGCCTAGCGCGCATGATCAAATTTCCTACAAGAGTAATTATAAAGTCGAACAATAAGAATCGTATACACCACTATCCTCTACACGTACATAGTATAGTATAGTTATTCATATTTCTCTAGGGCAGTCCCCACAGACCTATGGTCTCCTTACGGGGTACCCTAGGCAATCTAGGATTGCCATACGAAATTGACTTGGTGAAGCAGCAAGGCGGACGGACCGTACATATACGTTAGTTTGTTTCCCAGCATAGCTTCTGTTGTGAGACGACTTTTCCCTGATAATTGTCTTAAGAAAATCGATCAGGAACATCAATTTTAACTCCTTTTGTTCTTTGCGTAATGTTTGCTTCACTGATACTACACGTACAATTTTATCGAAATCGTGTGAGTGTAGTGACAGATTCTTTCTGAATACATACAAGTACATGTACATGTCATCTACACGTACTAGTCTAGTACTTGCTTTCTTTCTGTGCCTGTCCCCACAGTTGTTTATTCTGTGATGAGTGTGTATGTTTAGGATATTGCACGGTTCCGAGGGGATTCTTTTTCAAATCCCCAAGGCGCGCAGCGCCGCGGGGATTATGAAAAATTATCCTCGCGGACACTGTGCAATATCCTGTATAGACCACACTTTTCGGGTGATCAGCAGCATGCTAGCACTAACCAGTGCAGTGTTTTTTGGGTTTTTTTCTTTTTTTACTAGAGCCACGTAAACCCGTCATATGTGAGCCATGAATAAGGGGAGTGGTGGCGTGGTCTGGGATGCTCTGCCGACCTTGGGTCTCAGCTTCATCGCAACCAGGCGCGCCAATTGCAGAGAGAGAAAGAGAGGGAGAGAGAGAGAGATAGAGAGAGAGAGAGAGAGAGAGAGAGAGAGAGACGTAGACAGAGAGAGATAGATAGAGAGAGAGAGAGATAGATAGATAGATAGAGAGGGAGGGAGAGAGAGAGAGAGAGAGAGAGCGAGCGAGCGGGGAGGGTTGGGGGCAAGAGAGGGGAAGAGAACTAAATAAAGTATAATTATATAATGCGTAAGAGGTGCACATTCAGATCCAGAGAAAAGAGTAAGCAGGGCACGAGGCGTATGGCAATATGCAGCAGTGTGTGGGCAGATGTGCATACATCTTACAAAGTGTCAGTGGCCCAGTGCCATTGCTGGGCACGGAGGTGCCGGAAGACAGACACTTTGAAACTTTGCAGCCGTTTCCGGTCAGGTGGCTGGCTGAGGACGGCGGGTGGCAGGGCATTCCATACAGGGACAGCACAGGCGGGGAAAGCTCTACGGCAACTTTCCCGGCTATTGACAGGTAGCCCTGTCTCAAGCTGGTAGTTATGCATGTCGAGACGGACGAGAGAGAGACGAGTGGGTCGAACATGGGCTGGTCGGGGGGGGGGGCTTGAGAGGGAGGCAAGAGCTGACGAAGTGGGCTGGTAGGATTGCAGCACAGTAGCTTGTAAATGTAGGTACACGCAGCTACCATACGCCGGATAGACAGGCTTTGCAGCATTGCGCCGGGGCCAATCAAGTGGAGGGCTGAGCGCTGCGTCTGGTCAAGTCGCTGCAAGTGACAATTTGCTGCGCCCATCCAGACCAATGGGCAGTACTCCATTACTGGGCGTACAAACCCACGGTACACTGTAGCTCGGCTGCGAGAATCCAGGAGCGGCGAGGCCTTCCGCAGGAGCCCAAGACGCTGGCGTGCTCTGATGGCGATGGTACGGAGGTGGTTGCGGTGGGAAAGTTGGCTGTCCAGGGTTACCCCAAGAAGCCTGAGGTTACTATCTCCATTCAGGGGGACACCCGCAAACTGTACTTCTGGGAGGTTCCAGGCGGGGCGGTGATGGTCAATAGTCATGGCCTGGGACTTGGCTGGCTCGAACGCAATTCTCCAGCTGGTGCCCCAATTCACAAGGGCATCGAGAGCATTTTGCAGGATTGTCGAGTGGTGGTCAATGGTATCCATGGTGGACAGGTACTGAAACAGCGTTGTGTCGTCGGCATAAGCGGCCAGATCTACACCTGGTGTGAACGGAACACAGAAGTGAGTTCTGACATAGTCATTTGCTCGTCGCCTCTCCGGATTTTTTCTCCGGATTTTTCCAACCGTGCTGCGACCCACAGTTAATTGGGAACTCGTGGCCTGGCATGAGTAAACATGGATGTGGCTAATTGGATTTAGGCCTTTGGCCTCTGGTTGGTGGATCTGATCTATCCTCTCGCACCGTTTAGGAATCTGCCCGGTACGCCAACCCGTCGAATTTTTGTTTCTCCGGGTTTGATCCACTGGTTGGTTTGACTGAGGCGAGTGCGGAATGTTACACACTTTCTTTGGTTTGTCGCCCAAGACGAAGCCTCGTGAACTCCGCTGCTTGTTGGTAGCTGACCAGACCGTGAGAAAAAGCGGTGCTGATAATGATCAAGTCAAGACTACGAAATAGTAGATATTATTGTATTTAATAGATTTTTGGTCGGAGGAAAGCACACGAAGCACAGAAGTCATATACATGTAATCTCGACTAGGCCTTTCGTTGCATTACTCTTCAAGTCGAATACAATGGTGATTAACAAGGTAGCAAGTAAAAGTGCCGGTTATAAGGACTTACTTGCCACCTCAAATTTGGACTTCACGGAGAATTTCAAAGTTTTAGGAAATTAGAGGCCACATGCCACGTACTGCTCTTTTCTCTCCGAAACTCAACACTTGCAAGCCAGATATTAAAGCTACCTTGGTAACTTCATCACCATTGTATTCGACTTGAAGAGTAATGCCAATGGAACAAAAGGCCTAGTCGAAATTAT